AACTGGCATTTGCCAAGACCATCACAACCTCATCGATGGTAAATCTAATGGAAACTTCTCCTTCTTTACCTTACCTGTCTAGGTGGCACTGGCAAACGTTGCATACATTCTTCTTGCCCTTGGCTTTGTGATGCTGCTATTTCTTCTCTTCTCACCCTCCTTCCTTTTCAGCTTCCCTTTCTCTGGTTCACCCTTAAATTTTGGTATTCTGTGCAATTCTTTCCCTTTTCACTTTATAGTTTTTCCCTTTTTGTGGTTTCTTTCCATCCCCACTTTTGTAGTTTCGATGCCACGTGTATGCCAATGATCCCTAAACCTCTTATCTCCAGCTCAGATCCTATCTACGCCTCACCTGAAACCTCCCTGCCCCAGAGGAATTCATCCTTGGCGCCTCTCAGAGCCTGATTACCATCAGGTGCTTCCCACTCCAGGGGATGTCATCACGTCTCCCAGGGATACAGATGAGAAATTGCCACCTTCTCCTCACGTTCCATGTCTAACCCATGTCCGTCCTGTGGCTTCCAACATAGATTGGAAAAGTAGCCAAATAGTGTTTTGGAATTAGTTCCTCATTCTCAGAATTAAGTACGGGCCACTATCATAGTTTATCACCTACATTACTGAACAAGTCCCCAACTAGTCTCTGCCTGCAGCCTTGCTCCCTGCCATGTGATGGAGTGATCTGCAAATCTCTCTATCACCCTCTATTCAGATCCTCCCTGATTGCACTTAAAATTGCTTATAAGGCCCCTGGGACCTGGGCCTGCTCTTACTCCTCCAGCCTCATCCCCTATTGCAGTGGTTCTCAACCTTCTGGCCCTTTAAATAATATTCCTTATGTTGTGACCCAACCATAAAATTATTTTCGTTGCTACTTCATAACTGTAACGTTGCTACTGTTATGAATCATAATGTAAATACCTGATATGCAGGATGGTCTTAGGCGACCCCTGTGAAAGGGTCATTCGATCCACAAAGGGATCACGACACACAGGTTGAGAACCACTGCCTTAGAGGAAAGTGATACTTGAGCTGGATCTTGAAGAATGAAGTTAGTTAAGAAAAGGAGGCAGATGGACCTACTAAGAGAAGTGGGTAATATGTTTCCAAGCCTAGAGGCAATAGGAGAGTTAGAAACATCGATCAGCTGCCTCCTGCACATCTCCTACTGGGGATGTGCCCACAACCTAGGTAGGTACCCTTGACCGGAATCAAACCTGGGACCTTTGCGTCTACAGGCCGACACTCTATCCACTGAGCCAAACTGGTTTCAGCTGTCTTTATCTCTTCTTACTCCAAACTGACTTATGCCCAAACTCTCATGCTTTCTTATCTGTTATACTTTAACTAGATGCAACTTTCTCTTCAAGTACTTTCCCTTTTCCACCTCTATCTTCTCTCATTATTGCTCTAAATCCTACTAATTATATTATCATAAGGACTAAATGAGATGAAAAAGACAAAATGCTTAGAATATTTTTTTAAATAGCAATGTTCAGTAATGACATTCTTCAGAACCTCATTTTAACCTTCACAGTGCACTTGTCATACTTTTCAAGTTACCTGTTGACTCATTAATCTTCTACTACTCTGAGGTGTTATGTGGGCAGTCCTATGCTAATCTAATTTATTGCACTATTCCCAGCATCTGGCACCATGTCTCATATAGTAGACACTAAATAAGTGGTTGATGAATTGAATGAAATTAAAATGTGTTAAGCTAACCTTAGGAAGCAAAAATGATAGCTTCATATTTGTTTAGGACAGTGGTTCTCAACCTTGGCTGCACATTAGAATCACCTGGGAATCTTTTGAAAATCCTGATTTCTGGGCCTCATCCTCCAGAAATTCTGTTTCTTTAATACTAATGTTGTGGCCTCACCCCATAACAAAGAAACAGAATTTCTGGAGGATAAGCCCCAGAAATCAGGATTTTCAAAAGATTCCCAGGTGATTCTATGTGCAGCCAAGGTTGAGAAGCACTGGTTTAGGACACTGTAATATCAAGTATGTTTTTGAGTGTCTAGAAACTAAATCTCCACGCAGTTGTTAAACCCTTCCACTGAACAAACGCCTTATGATAAAAATGAATTCCCGTAATTGCTGGCCCACTGTCATTGCTCAGTAGTGTTAATGAGTAAAAAAATTTACTGATTGCTGTAAAAATACACATTAGTGAGAAGCGAGGCTTTTGTCCCCATCCCAGGAGATTTGCAACCATCATTGTTGCTGATGTCACATTCACCATGAACTATGGGTAAGATACTCCTCTTAATAGAGTTTAAAATCTATCTTATAAGTGAAATTCTTACCATGCTGGCAGCTTGTTGCAGCAGTACCATGACGCAAATGCCCACCAGCATCATTGTCTCTGAGAAAAAAAATGAAGCATTTATGAGATTTGAGTACATAAAGTAGCTTACTTTATAAAAAAAACATGATGATAATTTTAAGGAATAGACTAGTATAGTTTTCTGTAGATTGAAACTTTCCATAAGAATAAATTATCTTGGTCAGATAGGATAAAAATCAGTGTCATCCTTTACCTGCAAATGTAGGTTTTATTCTTGTGTTACCCATTCCTAGACCGGAAACCAGGAATATAGTAGCAGTGTTTCTTACTGCTTTAGAAAGACAAGCATTTGAGACCTAACCAAAGGAAAAGAGTAAAACTTCAATCTGTAATGGTTCATATCGCTGATGAGTGTCTCCAATTGCAAGGAAGTTAGTTTAAAATCCTGTTTGTTTTTTAAATTTTTTCTCTAGCTCAGTGGTTCTCAATCTTGGCTGGACATTAGAATCACCTGGGAATCTTTTTAAAATCCTGATTTCTGGGCCTCATCCTC